AGGTCCAGGATCACATCGTCGACGCCGCCCTCGCCGACTGGGTCGAGAATGGCGGCCGCACCTCGGGCCGTATCACAGGGACGTGGGGTTACTACCACACGATCCAGGCCATGGCGCGCATGGCGAATCTGACAAACCACACTGAAGACGCCGTCCGCTACGCCAGCTTGGCCGTCGACATGCGTGACGCCTTCAACAACTCCTTTTTCAACAACGCCACGGGGCGCTACACAAGTCGCGGCAACGACAGCACCGTCAACGCAGCCCAGGCCGCGCAAGCTCTGGCCCTCGACGCCGGCCTCGTGCCGTCCGAGCACCGCGAGACGGTCCTTGAAGCCCTCGTCGAGCTCGTAGAGTCCTACCCCTCCGCCGACGGCAAGGGTCCGCACCTGAGTGGCGGCACCATCGGTCTCGGCCCCATCGTCCGCGCCCTCTCCGCCGGCGGGCGTGACGACGTGCTGTGGGCGGCCCTGCAGCAAAATGACCGCCCGAGCTACGGCTACTTCATGGCCCCCACGACGAAAACCCGGGCGGGTTCACAACGATTGGCGAGCGCTGGACGCGCAGTGACTCGAAGAATCACATGATCCTCGCGCAGATTGACGAGTGGTTCCACGCCGGCGTGGCAGGGATCCAGGCCGGCTCCCTCGGGACCATCAGCGCGACGTGGGCCGATAAGCTCGTGTTTCAGCCGAAGCCTGTCGGAGACCTCACGAGCGCGGCGGGCACGTTCAGGACGAGGGCTGGCGAGGCGAGGAGCGAGTGGACGAGAGCCGGCGATGCCTTTGCGCTGAGCGTGACCGTGCCGGCCAACACGGAGGCCGAGGTCAGGGTGGCTGGCGAGAAGGTACGCGCGTCGGGCAGGGCCACGTTTGTTGAGGAGGAGGAGGGGTACGTCGTCTATACGGTGCCTTCTAGGATGCACAATTTCTCCAGCACACTAAAGGGGTAAATGTGGGAGTTTTGTCTGTAAGACTCCCACACGGACGACAGTTTTGTCAATGCTTACCTTCTAGTTTTAAGATGTCGCTTGTTGAGCATTCTTCTTAGAAGACCCGAATGTGGTGCTCTTGCGGTGAACAGTGACCACATCTTGATAATTGTGTTGCATAAGTTGGTGTACGAGATCAGTCGTGCCTCATGATTATCTGATCAGTCCATCGTGTCATTCGGCCTAGGCTGTACGTGAAGCGTTTTCTAAACAGCAGGTCATGGTTGAAATGCTTGTCCTCCAGGTTCGGCTCAGTCAATGGTGAGCAAAGTGCCGCTATTGTAAGGTCACCTAACAGAGCGGCACGAAGTTAAGGACTGACCTCCTGGAGGCAGAGAATCGGGAGTTGTACTCCTCAGGAGGTGACTAATGAGACCACGACATCGTATCAGGGACCGGCTGTAGTACTTAATGTTCCAGGAGGCCATGTCGGAATGATATTCGAGAGGGCTTGCATTGACTGAGATACAGACTCTGGGTCTCTGGATGGCTGTGCAATGACCGATGCCCATCTGCGAGCAGCGGTACTGAAGTAGGAAAAGAATCAAGTGTCATGTCCGCCATCGTGGTGAAGCCGTAGAATATCAAACGCGCTTGGGTATTGGCGAAGGGTGATCAAGGAAACGGGAATGGTGGCGTACCTGTAGTGCAAGGTGTAGTGCGAGTGGGCGGGTTATGTAGGTTCGGAGGGTGGCAGTGACATGGCCTGGGACAGAGTCACATCCAGATCAAGCAACGATCACGAAAAGTATGAACTTCCTTCATTTCACAGGACCATACGATGCGGAGCGCTCCCGAGCACCATGGCATGCGTTCCTGGCCGACTTGCACCGCTGTATGCGATTATGTCCCTAACAGATTCATTATTCGCCTACTGTCACCACGGAATTGAACAAAGTGGATTGATTGTTGTTAAGGTACAAAAGGAGACTTCCAGAAGTCCAAACGAAGGTAATTGGTCAGATCCAGCATCGGTAAGGAGTCTTACCGGGGCGATAACGACAGAACAAATGCATCAAATGAGGACTCCACATTTGGGATGAAAGTACTCCTGGGTCACAGAACAGAACCTTGCCTGATCGGCAACACACCCCCTCAGATGGGTAGGCGAGCCTCTCTCTGACCATCTGAACCACGAAAGATCAGGCAGATGCCTGTTGGCGGCTTTTGGTAGAGAATTTGGTGCCTTTGGAACAGTTGGCGTTCTCAGGGCAGATGAAGGAAATCGTGCTTGTGAAGCAAATAAGGATGTGTGTAAGTGTTATAAAACGTGGCGAATTGAGCAAGCTGTTCCCTGCGCGACGGGCGGGGAGGACGCAAGGGAGGGAGGTGGGGGGTAGGTATGTGGGGGTGGGTGGGTTGTGGGGGGAAAGGGTGATGAGGGTGGGGGGGGGGGGGGGGGGGGGGGGGGGGGGGGGGTATTTGTGTATATATATATAGAGGGAGATCTAGGGGGGGATGGATAGTG